TTCGTTTTCTCTTTTAATTTATTAATTGTACGGTGGGGAAGACTCCCCAGCTGAAATTTCCAATTTGTAAATATTATTTCTTCTTTTTTTTTTTTTTGCTTATCCCTAGTACACGTGGTACATACCATGATAATCATGATGGGTAGATGGCGACTGCTTTTACTGTAAGTACACCACATGTCTACACTTGTGAAAAGCAGTTCGACTTTGCACTTACAAATGTGCCAGAGCCCCGTTTGGTTACTTGCACTCGCTGGTGGGGTTGGACTTTTGCAAGAATCGGGAGCCATTGGAGCATTTTCTTTTAATCAGAAAAAAGTGCCCAATGCGGGAATCGAACCCGGGTCCTAGCGGTCATAATCCAACGGTTTAGACCATCCTTCCACAGACCCCCCTTATTTATTCTTTAAATTATTATATAATAAGGCAAAATAGCCTAGCTGCGAAAGCTTTAGACTTTTGAACCTGATGTCCCTTGTTCGAACACGCTTTTTTCCCTATCTTTTTATTTTCTCTAATTATTTTTGTGATCTCTTCCTCATTTTGTAAATATTGACTGAGTTGTCAATAAATTTGTTTTAATTGTCAATTGTCACACAATTTATTAACTAAAGTTGAAGCGTAAGAGATGGAATCCATCACGGTAGTATAGAGGTCGCGTGACTACTTCAGTACCATCGCGCGCTTACTTCAGTCTGAAACAGATTCATTTAAACAGTTTTATTGGTATACGCTGGGTTGGAAGCTTATCCTGGCTTCACTCCAAGTCCATCTGGTCTGTTCCTACAAGCTCTGCCATAGTTGGGACACTTCACAGGACAACAAATATGATGGACCCCCAGCAGTCTCGCGCCTACAGAAAGCCTAAATCGAACTTTACCAGGAAGATTTAATTTCAATTACCAAACACCAAATATGTTCAAAATTTTAATTTTTGGAAAATATTCGTAGACTCCATTTACCTAATATTTTCGGATACCCATGATTGAAGGGTGAGTAAATTTATTTTGTTTCACCTACTTACTATAACTGGCTAACCAACATTTCATTTAGAAAATGATTTGGCTTTGCATTTAGCTTATATCCATATAAAGTGGTAGCAAATAGGAGTTATTCCAATGATCATTCCCCTGAAGAGATGACAGGAATTCATTGAAACAGTTGAAATAAACTATTGGTTGATATGACGTGTTTTTCTCTGAATAGGCGTTAAGTTTTATCCTGTCAAAAACTTATAATGTAAAAGAACCTTTGCAGGCTTTCTATTCTTATGGATGTTTATTAATATATATATATATATGACAATATAATAAAAATAATGTGGGGAAAGAGAAATAATCACACCACAAGTTTGGAAGAGGAATTTGGAAGGCAACCAGAGAGAGATGGAGATGGTGGGCCCGGCTGTCCGCCGGGCGGCCGTTTGTGTCGAATACAATCACCAACTGTCTTAATTAGTCCTGAGGTTCCAAGAAACGGCCCTGTGGTCGCCCCCTGGAATGTCGCTGGTGTCTCAAATGACTGGACTTTAGCTGCTGTCTCTCTCTGGGCTGACTCTAGGTTTACTTTATTATTCCAGGAAGAGCATATATTATGACATATATATATATAATATTGCACACATATGCATACATATATGTTTTATAATACTTCTAGTAAATTCCTAGTGGTAATAGTTCATAAATCGAATGGACTCCTAACCTGTAATTTTTATAACACACAAACTATTTATGCACAAATTTTCTTTTTTTTTAATATAAAAATTACTTTTTATCATCCCCTCAGTGAAATGATAAACAAATGGGAGGGCCCTGCTCATCAGTGGCAAAACCTCTCAAAGGTTACGCTCAATTATTTTAAATACCGTTTTTCTATTGTAATAATCTATTGTCTCATTTAGAGTGTATTCTTAAAAGAAGACAGGTAAAAAGTATTTAGGGAACCTATGAACTATAGACCGTATTCTGTAGGCCTATATTCTTATTAATTATAAGGAAAAAAACAAGAGCGTTATCTGTATATGAAAATAAAACTATTATGCACACATTTTATCTTTCAAAAATATCAAACTTTCTTCTGTTCTTTTCGTGATGAAAAATATGATGAGATCTTGGCTCATCAGGAGTTACCTCTAACCATTGGTTTGGCCAATTTAATCCAACAAACCGCTCTTATAATCTCTAACACTGTTTAGGACGATTTTTCGATATATGCGATTATCTAGGGTGGGAATTTGTGTTATATAATTAAATAAGACCTTTGTTATAAGCGCCTAGGACAGTAGAATTAACTAAAAACAGCAGAGTAAGATGGAAAGAACCTACCAAGGTCAACTAGTTTATAATAGGGAAAGATATACGAAATTTAATAGGTTCTGCAGACTTTTTATTATAAATAGACAGCTTCATGCAGCTTGAGAAACTACACTACTATGCGACTTGATTTATATCAATGTAAATAAATTAATAAGTTACTTTAGAATATAACTCATTGTAAATAGCTCAACTTGATCAACTTTCTCTCTCCACGATACTAATTATTACAGATAACTTCATTAAATCAACTTCCATCATTGCTTAACATATTTTAAATAACTATCTTGCAATTTCTTCTATCTGCTTATGTTGTTGCTTATTTGTTTAATGTATATGTTTATTTAATGCTCTTTTTCTTAATTGTTTATTTTCTTTTTGATAATTCTGTTACCTACTCTACTACAATTATTGTAAATAGTTTCACGCGCAATTATCCAGATAGGATATCGCGTGTCTTATTTGCAACTGGTAATAACTAAATAATTATCATCATTAATATGTAAATAGTAGAGCTTAAAAAGACCATGCAGATTGATACAAAGATAATAAAATTGAATCTTTAATATAGGACAAACGAGCAAACAATTCCTTCTCTTCACCTACAAGACTTAACAATAGTGTTGTTATTTCTGCATTCGAAATTTATATTACGAATTTTTACATAATGATTTTCAATTGGTATTTGATTCTGTTACCACAAATTTTATGGCATATCACGAATGCGAATGTACATAATAAAGCTCGTCAATTTTATGTTTGTATTTCAATTCTATCTATTTTATTGTCATACATTACCACAATTTCATACACTAATCAATTTGCATATAGGTGTCTAATCTCTACAAATTGTGTATTGCAGGGAGTGAGGTGGAGATAGAAAAAAACCCGGTAGCTGTTGAAGGTGAGAAATGAACCTTTATAAACTTGAAAATTGAAATATGATTCGACCCACGACTAAATAAATATGTTTGACTAAAATAATTCATTGAAATTAGTTATACATATTTCAAAGAGAAAGAATAATAGAAGAGTAAATTAAATCTCAAAATGAAGAGCAAGAACAGATTCTAAAAGAATTTAAGTTTCAAGTAAGGATTTCACAATGTCACGATTTTTACTTCTGAGCCTTTCCTCTTCTTTGTCTGTGAATGTCAGAGATGATATACCAGTTAGTAGTTATCAGGACTACTTCGTCAATACTGAAAATATTAGTACTAACTTTAAAGATCTCTTATGTTTTTTTTAAATATATATATTGGTATATTGTTTAGGCTTAGGACAAAATTTTCTGAAAGATTAAGTTTATTATTTCTATCACCTAAAATTTGAGAACAATTGTCATTTTACCTATTGGCCTCTTCTTTAAAAATATAAAATTTGAAATGGCACACACTTTTTTATGCGAAAAGGCACCTCTTTCAAAAGTCAATTACTCAGCGCAAACCACAGATCATTAAACATAATTTCGATATTTACCTTCCAAAAAAAATTCTCAATTATAAAATTATTTATAAAATTTAGAAGATAAATGTATTCGTTTTTACCATCTTCTGATAAAAACGCCAGAATATGATGTTAAAGTGTTTTTATATATTCGGCCAAAGGTATTTCCCATAATGAATATGAGGTGTACTCTTTTTGCTCCTGAGAAGTGTCTACATGTTGTAAGTACTTCAGTGATTCACCCGGGTTCGATTCCCGAGAAGCGCAACTTTCGAATTTTAGGGCTCAAAAATCATCCATTTTGGTTAGCAGCCCCGTAAATAAAGATATTTACAGTACTTCAGTAAAAACTATTATTTTGACCATTGTGTGCCCTATATTATATCCTGTAATATATCTAGATATCTTTATAGTTATATTTTCAATATTTCATACCAGTATTACATTCTTGTTTTCATAGTAAAGTTTGTCTTGTCACCTCTTACACTTCCATTAAGAATCAAAGAATCTGAAGTCACTATAGATCATTTCTGAGTATTGTCTCTAATACTAGTAGATGAGTACCAGAAAGGTATTCTATTAATCAATTCCAGGTGATGTTTGTTATTCTGGCAGCTACCACAGAAGACCCTTGCCTGCTGGGCCCACCGTGAAGCTGCCCGTGGAGGAATGCCCCGAGACTCCGGGGACATCGGGAGTCTTCCGGGCTTCTCGCCAGGGCATGGGGGACCTGGAAGGATTGAAACACTAACACCAAGAATGAAGCATCAAATGCGTTTTTCATTATTATCCATAGTACACGTGGTAAAGGCTATGAGAATTATAGCGGGTAGGAATTCACGTCAGCTTTTGAATAAGTATCTGAAGATCTACAAGGTTGTTCCGAAATTTCGTAAACACTTGAAAAAATTGAAATACCAATATTATTCGCCGTTATGTATAATGTATTATGTATAAAGTAATTGTATTATGGTTTATTATTTATTCGCCGTAATAGTATTATTCGCCAAGTAATAAGAAAAACGCTTTAAGAAAAACAAGAACTTTAGGGACAATCTTATGTTACTGATAATTTCGGGAATTGAGCAAATCCAAGACCGGTGGTCTTAATAAAGATTGTCTGTGTGTTGATAAATAATAAAAATGGTTAAAATAAGTATACAGTTTTAATTTGAATCGTGTTTTTGATCTTTTAGAAACTAAATTACTTATAGTGAATTTAATGTCACTATTCAATTTCATGTTTTAATTTCGGGTGGAAGGCTGGTTAAACCGTTTGGTTTACGACCACTACGACCCGGGTTCGATCCCCGCATTGGACACTTTTTCTGTTTAAAAAAAAAATGCTCCAATGGCCCCCCGATTCTTGCAAAAGTCCAACCCCACCACCGAGTGCAAGTAACCAAACGGGGCTCTGGCACATTTGTAAGTGCAAAGTCGAACTGCTTTCACATGTGTAGACATGTGGTGCGCTTACAGTAAAAAAGCAGTCGCTAACTACCCACCATGATTATCATGGCCTGTACCACGTGTACTAGGGATAAGCAAAAAAAAAAAAAGTTTTAATTTCTCATAACACTTAATGTTACTAGAAATTCCTTGTACGAAAGGTTCTATCAAATTGAATATTTAAAATTCGAAACTATTATAGACACGTATGATTCTTTTTAAAAATAAACAATTTCTACTGTCCTTACTGCAATGGAAAAATAAATGGGATGGCCTGGCTAATTAGTGGTGAAACCTCCCAGCGGTTTCGCCAGTTTAATCTACCATACCGTTGTTATATTAAAATTTTCGATGAATATTTTAAAACGATTGCATGTACAAGTAGCATATCAATTATATATTTCAACGGGTAGTAATCTATTCCTGAAATTTCTCAGTGTATTTCGAATTCACCTCTAATAATAGGAAAGTCCCAAAAGTAATGACGGGTTTCCCATTACTCGAATAATATCTGAACTATTTTATTCAAATTTTAGTATGTTGTTGAATAAAAATACTTATCTAATAATTATATATTTTAAGCAAGGCAACAAATATCTGTAAATGAGTATTGAAATCTCAAACTTTCAGGTTTTAACTCCCTTCTACAGTAATACAAAAATAAACAGTAAATATCTAATAGCGTTTCTTCATTGTTCAAATTTGTACTTATAATGAAAAGCGGTAATATGAAGCAAGAAAATAATTATTTTTGAGTGTGAAAGCTTATAAAAAAAGGAACTTACCCTCTATTATTAATTTTGTTTATTTTTCTTCGTCGTCTGTTTTACACAAGTTGAATCTGGTTAGAACGATGTATGTAAATTAGATGATTCTTTTGTTGCCTTAAATACGAGGTAGTTAACTCTCTCTATATCTAAAAAGGTTTAAAGTTTGATAAATTATTTTTATAAATCTGAGAGTGTTCTTCAAAAACGATCCAACATAATGCCTGGAAGCTTGAGATTGCAATAGAAATGTAAAGAGACTCACATCCCCAGAAACCTGTTGCCTTTAATAAACATCCAGGAAGTTCAAATCTATTGTATTAAATTCGTTTTACTAAATTCATTGTTGCCAGAGACTTGTTGCCTTGTTTAATTCATGTACATTCACATCTAAATTCAAAACTATTATAGATGCGGAAAAATAGTACAAATGTGATATTGTACTGGGATAAGGTGCATAAATTAAGAAAAAGGCATCTCCTTATTGTGCAACTGAAAGTTGCTGATGGCTTGCGCCATCTATCGGAATAAATATTTGGCCAATTCTGGAATAATTAAAAATCAACTAGAATAGTTGATATTTATTCCGAAAGATGGCGCAAGCCATCAGCAACTTTAAGTTGCACGATAAGGAGATGCCTTTTTCTTAATATATTATAGATGCGTATGATTCTTTTTGAAAATAAACAATTTCTAATGTCCTAATGGGAAAAATAATCATACGCGTCTATAATAGTTTCGAATTTTGATAACAGATGGCGCGCTGATGCATCATAACATTCATATCTATTGGATTATCTATTTTGTTTTTGGTCTCCATAAGTAAGAATGGAATCAAACCAGAAACAAAGATCCGCTGTTGAATTTTGATAGGTATAACATTTTGTGATATTTTAAATCTAGAAAATATACATATTTAATAAAGTTAACTTCCGCCATAGGATTTGAGGGTAAATTATTATATATATGAACTAAATTTTATATATTAAGGTATTGATGATTTTAAATTATATAAGATGTATATATATGTGATAATTATTTATAAAAAAATAAATTCATATTAACTATACATGTTGTTTCTATTGAACAGATTAGCAGAAAATACTATTTAAACAATGATACTGCTATCTATCAATAATGATTGTGATTATTCTCTATTGATTTTTATATTTTGTAAAGTGTTATGCTAAATAATGTAAAGGTGATTCGATAATTCCTTGAATCAGTATTAAAATAAGAACATTAAGCCTCCAGGGAAAGGTTTCTTTTAAAATATATTTTTTTAATTTAAAATTATCTCAAGCTTTCGTGAAAGAAAGTCCTTCTACAGGAGAAAATATTTTACATTATTAAAACGCCAATAAAATAAGATTTAAAATTGAATAAAGTGCTTTGATGGTTTACATTTGTTTCCAAGCAGAATCAACGAGGGCTTCTGTTGCGCGTACTTTCAAGTTTTGCTATTCCAAGGCGATATCTTCACTTGAGGTTATGGGGTGGGTTCAGGGAATATTATGTTATAAATTTACGGAATGTCCACTCTCCTGTTAATGTTATAGTGCTTTATGGATATGATGGATTCTATGATAAGTCTCTGTAGTCTATTGGGGATGTTGGAGTAATGGGTCTTTGGTTATGAAAGGGAGAAGAATTGACCTGTTTCTCCTATATGTTGGTATACTAAAGATCTACTGTCTTGGTAATCGATATTTCGTTTATGTGTGTTCTGATACTCTTATATTTAAATGTCTACCAGTTTCGCTCACATATTTAGTTTTGCATTCGTTGCATTCTATGAAGTATATGGCATTCTTAATATTGGAAGGATAATAAATTATATTGTTCTTTGTTATGGGGTTTCTAAGTAACGAATTTAGATTAGGTGAGTTTCTGAAAAAGGTTTTGATTCCAAATTTCTTCAGATGACGGGCTATAGAAACAGATACTGGTGAATAAGAAATACTGCTTATAGATTTATAGATTGGGGAATTCCGAATTTCAGAGAGGGGCTATAGAAATGTCTTAAAATAAATGATAAAATATATTAACAGGTCTTTAAATTTATTATAATATTCGAATTTCTTCTTTTTTAAAGGTTCGAAGTGAGAAATGGGTAAGGATACGTTTAGTTAAGGTCTTTACTGTATTGATTTTATGACTGAGAGGGCAGTAGGAGAAAAAACGGATATAGTCGGGGTTGAAGGATGGCTTATAGTGAACAGTTGTTTGGAATTGGTTTTGTATGTGAATGATTTGTACATCTAGGAAGGGCTGTCGGGCTCCCCTGAGGAGAGTAAGAGCAGGTCACTGAAACGTCGTTTGTTAAATAAATCATTGGGTAAAGTGGCTGTGTTTTTCTGAATATGGAGTATTATTATTTAACGTGTATTTATTATTTAACTCAATTAGAAAAAAAAAACAAATTTTCCTTCTTTTCTAGTTCTCTTCAATATAGCTAACGATTATTTTTTTATGAAAATGGTTTTATTCATTGAAAATGAAGGTATTGTGATTCATTTGTTTCTTTATAGTATTCAAAGTCTTCAATTTTTCGTCTTTTGAAACTTTATCGGAAATTGGAGTCTCAAAATCTTAGTCAAATTTATGATTAGTAATCAAAAGTACAATATTACATTTGTAATATTTTTTCACATTGTGTAGCGTTCTCACGCAATTCTGGCCTTAACTACCCGTTCCATGATTTTTCAGGATGCCTTAAGGACCAAATTTTTTGGTCGTTGAGGTACAGCTTGCACCACGCTGATGAGGGCCAACAGCCCGAAACGCGTCCGTGGTTAGCTTTTCTTGATTAATCAAGAATGGGTATTTGGCCAATTCTAGAATAATTAAAAATCAACGAGAATAGTTGATATTATATATATATTGCGTATGATATTGTTTTTTACAGCACAATACAACAATGTTGGCAAGTTTCTCTAGAGTGGAATGTCGAGGTGACGAATCCACTCCAGGGCCTCCTCTGTGCACCGGTGGATATCCCCAAGTGTTCCCTGGAAGAATCTTCGAGGACAGTCCCTTAGGATAGTTGATATTTATTCCGATAGATGGCGCAAGCCATCAGCAACTTTCAGTTGCTCGATAAGAAGAAGCCTTTTTCTTAATTTATGCACCTTATCACAGTACAATATTACATTTGTAATATTTTTTCACAAAAGTAATAAGGTACAATTTGGATTATAGGTTATAAACACAAGGTAATAAGACCAAATAAATAAAAATTGTGTGACGTTTCAGTAACAGAGTTGTTACCGGAACGTCACACACTATTTATTTATTTGTATTTGGTCTCATTACCTTGTGTTATCAAACGTAGAAAAACGTGAGACGAAAATTATCTTGTAAGGTTTTTTATTCAGCCGATATTTCGAGAATTTCTGCCTTTCTACAAGAGTAAAATGTATGATTTATGATTAGTGTTACATTGTGTCAAAGCTGTATGAACTTTCTTTTCGCACTGACAATAGATTACATATTCATAAATTGAATGTTCATTAGAAAAAATGAGGTCCCATGAATTGTTATAAATTTTCTGTTGGTCAATAACAAATAAGAATATTATACATAGTGTGATCAATAATTTCCAGGAATGCTAAATATTTAAAGAAATACAAAAGTATAATAAAGTTTTATTTAAAATTTCTAAAAATAATGACAGTCACTATCTATACAATTGTTCCATCTTTTTTTTCCAGATATCAAAACACCTTTGAAAATCCTCATCTTTCAGGCTTTTCAAAATATTCTTCGAATTCTCCTTTATTTCAGGTATTGAGTCAAATCGAGGTCCTTTTAAGACTCTTTCAATTTTAGGGTAAAGGAAAAAGTCGTTGTGAGCAAGTCAGGAGAATAGGGTAGCTGAAGTAGTAAAGAAATTCCGTGTTTAGCCAAATAGAGTGGTACAGTGACGGCCGTATGTGGCCGTGCGTTGTCATGATGCAAGAGCCAATTTTTCTGATGCCATTTTCCGGGTCTTTTCTGACGCACAGGCTCTCTTAAACGTCGCAATACATCAAGATAGTAATGTTGATTAATGGTCTGACACTCGGGTACAAATTCATAGTGTACCAATCCCTTTACATCAAATA